TGAATGCATTACAGATAGCCTAGAATGCATGCAAAGAGTGCTCCCTTTATAATTTCAAATGCACTTACCCTGTCACTCATCTCAGTTCACCGGTTCAATGGACGTGTCTGTGATTGGCTACACTGCTCAATGCTGCAAACTTTGTAAATAGAAACATCTGATGCTCTCCAGAGTGGAAATGCACATATGCACAGAAGAGTTTGCCAAATATCGTATTATTACAGTTTCAACTAAGGGTGCTCTTGTTTTTTTGTGTGAGAGTGTTTAGCTCCCTAAATTGGGCATGACACGATAAACTGCTTTCCATATGAATTTAATATGGAATGTTACTTAAATACGGGAACAGTTGGCAATCCTACTTTGCATGTTTTAAACACTTAGATGATGTTCTTTGGCCATGCATTAAATGCACGTAAATACGCAGTTTGCTGACGTATTTACACTTCTCAGGTAATGTCCGTGGTATGATGACAATGATAGTGATTAGCCTACATCAAATATATTTTAATTGTTTGATCAAAATTATTGCTAGGAACAATTCAGTTGTGCCCCTACTAAATTCTACGTCCTTGAATTGAAGGAATTTTTTATAAACAAATTTGGAAAAAAAATAATGAAAAAAATGTTTCCAAAGTCTAATGTAGTCTGTGATAGATCGCGTTATCTGCCTCAGGCAACAGCAGCACAAAGCACGAATTAACCGAAATAAATGAACTTTTCCACGACATTCTAATTTATTGAGATGCACCTGTATATATATATTAATGATGAAGCACGTCATAATCACAAAATTAGTCAGCTTTTTATATAAAAAGTTCACAATGTAGCCTAATAAGCCTAATTTTCTTATTCTACATAAAACTGTTATTACGTTTTGTGCTGAAATTTATTATATTGTAAACATTGTTTTAAAGTATGTGCTGGTATTACATTATGAACTGTGATTACATTATAATTTGTCACAGTGTGTTCATAATGTAATACATTTCTCATACAATAACATTACATTATGTGAAAATTGTTATTACATTGAAAAATTATTATTAAATTATGAGCTCACGATTTTATTACGTTTTGAGAAAATTATTACATTATGAACATTTTATTACAATAATAATGTAATACTTATTACATTATGTGCTGTTATTACATTATGAGTTGCTACAATATCTTTTATTTTTCAAGTAACTGTATCTTGATTTATGATAGGAAGATAGGAATGGAAAATCTTTTTTTTTTTTTTTTTTTGCAGTGAAATAAATGCTGTCCTTTTTAATTTTCTTTTTCAAGAATACAGAAAAAAAGCATTCCACTAAAATATTCTGCAGCACAACTGTTTTCAACATTCATAATCATAAGAAATGTTTCTTGAGTGGCAAATCAGTACATTAGAATGACTTTTAAAGTATCATGTGACAGTAAAGACTGGATTAATGGCTGCTTTGCTATCACAGAAATAAATTATATTTTTTAAATACATTAAAATAGTAAACACTTATTTGAATATTTTACTGTATTTGTGATCAAATAAATGCAGCTTGTTGAGCATAAAATAATTTTTAAAACATTTTTAAAAAATCCTTAAAACCCTTAAATTTGTGAATGGAACAGTATTTCAATGCTTATCGTTTTTGTTGTTGTTGTTAATCACTTTTACTTATAACGATTAGTGTTTTTTTTTCTTATGACTTGAGCTAAATAAGAAATATTATGTTACCATATTTGTCAGAATTTATTGCTTCTTTGTAACAATCCTTACCAATCATTCTGGTCCTATATTGACACCTAGAGGCATGGAGGCAGCCTCAAAAAGTAGTTTTTATTACAGATGCATTATAGAAACATTGTTTGCCTCAGTAATGCATTCTATGATAAATAACAGGGGCGTTAATGAGATAAAGTGAGCAGTATTAAGCTGCTCATGTCTCAAATTGGCCACCAATAGCCTTTATTAGGTTACTTATTTAAATAGAACATGGTTTTGAACATATTTTTCACATGTATTATTCATTTATTTAGGGTTAAAACGAGGAGAAAATGACTTTGGCTCCATTTTTAATGAGTGAACGGAACATAAATCTGTGTTAGCGGAGCAAATACTGACCATCTTTCTCTCTCTCTCACCTAGCTGCCTGAAATGAACATGATTGCCAATGAACAAGTGCAGAGCACGAAGGCCGATATCATTTTTTTTGCCATCCAGAACGCAGGAATGCTGACAGGATTTGCCATGATTCTTCTCATCACATTGTATGGTGGGAACATTAGCCTGGGCTGAGCCCTCGCTTCATACTGCACTTAAATTCTGTGCCCATTCCAGATCGTACTCTCATTTAAGCTATTTATTTGAGAAGGAACTACTTCATACTATTATTAAATCATTTATACTGAGGAAACTTGAAAATCATTAGGTGTAAAATAATTTTATGATTTCTCAACATGTATAATTTTAGCCATTTTATACTGTTGTAAATAACTGACTGACCTACTAATCATGTTTTGTAGAACAGAAGGCACAAAGAGTGATTTATGGCTCACATTTGGTGCTATTTGAATGATCACGTTTGTTACTTTGTACAATAGGAATTTTGAAAATCATTCAAAATAAGACGACAGAACAGAACTGTATTAAAAAGTCCAAATTTATGTCTTTTTTTTTTTCTTTTTTCCATTGGACACATCCATCTGTTATACAGCTGATGATATATCTATACATTTAGTTATTTAATATTCATTAAACACAATGTACACTTAAAAGCATCTTTAAAACAGTACAGTCAGTGCAATATCTTTATAGATCAAATTAAAAACATTTTCTCTCCAAAAATATACACCTATATAGATCTCAGAACATTAATTCTAACCCACTTTACAAGAAGTAATCAGAAAACTTCAATCACGCCAGGAGGTAAAATAACTTAAACAGTTTTGACTGAACAAAGTTATTGGGTGAATCTCACAAAAAGGTCATATTTTCATTCTAAAATCAAAAGAAATAAGAAATTATACTTTGCTTTTTTCATTACTTTCAAGATATTGTCAAGTATTTATACAGAACTGTAGTAATTGTTGTACTCCCTTTAATGCAAATTAAAATTCTTATGGTAATTACAAAAAAAATAATGCATTACGGTGTCATGAGAATTTTTGATGCTTAAATGTGACTAATTTTTTAATGAAAAGAATGTCAAAATGAAAAATAAAAAAAAAACATTATTGGTCCTAAAATGGTCCTATAATTTAAAATTATTATTGAGATTTTTTTCTTTTGATTTTTTGGGGTGAAATGTGACGTGTTTTCATGCAATTCACCCTATTAGGAGGCACATCAGCTCTAAAATACCTAGAACAGCACGGTTCTACTTCATAGTCACTGAACCAGCAGAACAAACAGAATGGCATAGAGTTAAACGCACACGTACGGCAATACCGTGGTAGTTCTAGAAGCACTTATATGAGGCACTAAACGCAGAGCTCGGGCCAAACCACACCATAGAACAGCACGTTAGCCCGAGGGGTTGTCCTGGCAACAGGCACGACTACTGCAGAAATCACCACTGTACACATCGCTGGCAAATGAACGACACGAGCGAGGGCGAATCAGCGAGAGAAGGCTGCATCTTCATCTTGGATCTGTCATAAAAAGCCACTGAGACCTAAACCATCGGTCATAGTATATATAACAATGATCTGCATTATATTAGCTGAATGAAATCCAATACTTTTTTCTTACTAATTTAGTATTAGTAATTTAGTATTAATTTATGTATTATTATTTTATTTAATGAATTTTTCCAGAAATATTGTGCTGTGCACTTACAATTTTCTGCTAATTCTGGTAAAAAAAATGTTCTGGTAAATATTCCTTTAAAAATAATGTTTTAATAATAATTTTATAATTAGTAGTAGTACTATCATTACAAGTAATATTTCTGTCACAGTTTCTTCAAGTTAAACCAAACTTTTATTTTGTGTGAAGACCTTTAGGTTTCTGTTTGTATATGATATGACGATAGCTCAAGTGACTCTCAGAGCAGTTGTAGAGATTATATTCATGTGCTCATATATTGAGGCAGCAGAGGCTGAAAACACCGCGAGTGTCACGCGCACTTCAGTATGTGTAGTAAACCAAACCGTGTGTCTGCGCCATTCATTCACACAGAGACAAGCAGGATTCATATTTAAATAGTATTTTTGCGGCTTAATATTCACAGACACTAGTCCATATTACGGTTTGATTTAAGTGTACTGACCTACTTTTGATTTATCCATACTAAATTTGGCAAATTCTGTGACATTCCGCATTACACAGTAAATTCTGTTTTTATGACTGGATTCTGCGATTCCATCCGCGTTTTCCGCATCGCAGAAATCATAGGGCCCTACTAATTTTGCGGTGCTGATTCCAAAAACAGTTTCTGTTTTGCTCTAGCACGTCACACTTTCTCACAAAAGGCATGCATTTTGTGGCATCTGTGTTAAATTCAATATGGCATCCAACCTGATTATGATCTATTCCGAATATTCCCAGACACAATCCATGAAGTGCAGGGTCAAAAGTCTTTGGGCGAGCTTGGCAGAACTTGATTCTCGGAGTGATGTGTGCCGGTGAGACGAGGTAGATGAAGTCAGACAGTCGTCCCGTTGGTGGCCGAGGCTACACCCTGCAGCCAGCACGTTTACAGGGCAACAGCCTTCCAATAATGCAAGCCTGATGGGGAGTGGAGTGTCTAACCGATCATACATACAATATCTAAGGCCAGCCTCATGAATCCAGGGCTGACCAGTCACTGTACAGAAACCACATATACACTAGCCAATATATTACAGCACTGCGCTCGCCTCTTTAGCTTTACAATAGGACGAGTAGCTTTACACGACTGTCTACTATGTCAGATAACAGTAAAATATTTACTTACTTACAAATCAATGCTTTCACAAGAACATGATAAAGCTATGCTGGCTTAAAGGTTCATATAACCAGTTACTGGCACCATGTTAAATACCGCATATGCTACGTGATCTTGCATGGAATGTTTTATCAAGTATCGTACGCATTATATTACTATTAACACCAAAAGTGGTGCATATGTCCACAAACATTGTAGGGAATTTACAAACATTCATCCTTCGTAAAATCAACAACTCTTTTAAGCATTTCACAGTATTATTCGGTACCACACACGTTCAAAAAGCTATTGATATTCATCCGTCTTTTACAAAACGGCTGTGATGACGCCACATTGTTTCTCGCGTATGATTATGCCACCAGTCTCACAGCTGAGAAAGCTACAAAATTGATATACAAAGACAATTATCTCTCCCCGATCCACTTATACAATCAAATGTGCTCTTAATGAAGAAGAACTAGAGTCGTTTGTACATTTATACGGCATTATTTTGGTTCAGATACTTGTGGAAAGCTACTAGGGGGCTGCTATTGCAAATTAGGGCTGTCAAAAAAAATTTGAATTTCGAATATTCGTCAAATTTATAATGCAAGTTCAACTTTTAAAACATATCTTGAGACTTTATGGCGGGGGTTTTTCCCCATCCCACTGCAACTTGTGTTTTTAAATGAAAAATTTACCCTGCGCCCTCTTGTGGCCTCAGAAGAGAAGCCAAAAGCTTTTCTCCACCGTAACTGAAATTATGCACTTTAAATTTGAATATAATTATTAATAATATTTAAGTATAAAATTCAAATGTAGTTTTTCAGCCATTTTGACAGCCCTATTGCAAATAAACCTCAAGTAAGACATTAATCATTATAAAGACGAAAAATGACCAGGTGAGTCACAGTATGTACCATAAACCAAAAAGGCCATCGTCACATACAAACTTGGCAAACTTGATAACTTGGCGATGTTCACAAAACGGTATTTTTTGGCATTTGTGATGAGCGCAATGTGATTAAATACTGGTGCCGTAGCATTTCAGTGATGGGCTACTTTAAGACAATATTTCCTTTGAAAAGAAGATGCGGTTTGACAATCAAAACAAAACCAACAATATCTAAGGCAAAAACAGGCTGAGGGCAGCTAGAGTCCTGAGAAACAGACTGCAGTGCTATCGTCAGACGGGGCGTTTGGACACTACAGACTGAGATGATAGAGATGTCTGCGTAACACATTGTAGTTCAGCTAAAGTAATGTTGATACCCACCCAGATTGTAACAAAGAACAGAGGACAGACTAAAAGAAAAGTTGTCAAGGCGACAGTAAAGGGCTGTCAATGAACTGTTTGTGCGGTTTGTCACTGCCCACCATCACTGGGAGCTGGACTGTCGGAACGGCCTTCCTTCAAACTGCCTGATTGTTTCTTCTGCTTGGTCTTGGACTTTCTCAGCATGCAAACCTAAAAAAGAGAACAAAAGCCTTTTTAAATATACAGAACTTTATATTAGAACTGAAGGCTAACAGATGGTGAGAAAGCAAAATTCTGAAACTGAATATAGAACCTTTGGTTCTATTAACAATTCTGGAACATCTGCATTCTTCCACCGGAGAAGAAACACTTTTGCAATCAATTGTGAAAAAACAAAAGAGGCCACGATGTGAATAACAAATCGAACTGTGGGGAACACGTCTCATGAATATTTAATGAGGCTTACTTAGTGACCTTTCTTGAGTGTTAAATTCAGATTCTAGGATACTCCACCTCATAATGTTGTGTTGTCTTTATACTGCTAAGCAGCTAAAGTGAACCAACCAGACAAAGCGGGGTATGAATGAGTTAAAAGTATATAAAAGCACCTTTGGTCCAGCAGCTGAGATGATGATCTGTCCAGGTGATTGTATCCAGGGCTCTCCATCCACCTGCACTGGAATGGGTTTGTTCACAGTGATGCGAATGTAGCTGCCCTGAGCGATACGAATCCCAGAACGCATCCCACTCTGAACCTGACCCTAAAGAATTTTTTTTTGTAATAATTCATTAATCAATGTGAAAACAGAATATGCAACACAATTCAAATCCGCACCAATAAATCAATTCTGTTTAATAAACAATATACAGTAAACAATTTTTATAAAACAAATTTCGGCAAACAGTTTTTTGGCAATACTTAATACTTGTATTCAGCAATGACACATTAAATTGATCAAACTTGACAGTAAAGATATTTACAATGTTATAAAAGATTTCTATTTTAAATAAATGCTGTTGTTTTGAGCTGAAAGAAAAGTGTCACTGATTCCACAAGAATATTAAGCACCACAACCGTTTTCAACATTGATAATAATAATAATAAATCAAACTAAAACAGTTCTTAAATGTGAAGTGTCCAAAAAAAAAAAAAAAGAGAGAGAGAGCATCAGAACTCACCATGTGCACCACACCAGTAACTCCCACCACCTCCAGCATCCCATCATCTATCCTTGGCCGCCCAAACCGAGACTCGCTGTCTGAGCCCCACAGGTCAGCGCCAGAACCCCAGCTAGACACATACAGCAGCTTTAGTCTTCAACAGCAAACTCAGGTGTGTGGAAGCGTCACAAAGGAAGTGACTTTACTAACATTGTGTGAAACTGATACCTGGGAATATTGAGGAATATCAGTCCCTCTATACTGGGCAGTTCCACGTCGTGTTTGTCCACTTGCATTCTGATGTCTTTATGAAGGTTTCGTGTGTGACTCAACTTCTGCAGGCCCACCTTTACATACACACCTTTATTGTGGAACCTGCAAGAACAATGACAAAATCAAATTCCCCATGCACACCCCACCCTCACACTAACTGTTAGCCACATGGCCACACTTTTGAGGTGAAATAACAATACTCACCTGCTATTAAACTTGTCTGGTTCCACCTCACGTGCATGATGAAAGTCCAGACTCAGCTCAGCATCAATTCCCAGCCCAAAATAATTATTCATGTGCACAATCTATAACACAGACAGGCACAACCCTGTTATGATTGATGCTTTACGCTAGTAACTTGCAAAAGCAGAACTAAATGCATAAAAAATATGTATTATATTTATTTATTAATACTTTAACATTATATATATTAAAATGTTAATTAAATTTTTTTAAATAATAATCATATTTATTGTAATTTAGGGACTGATGATGTACCTTGGGTGGCTCTAGGAAGCCATTCTCTTTGCCATCCTCTGTCATTTCCTGTGCGTCCAGAAGAATTGTCCAGCGGTCCATTTGCACTTCCTCTGCCTCATCCACAGACAGCAGGATATTGTAGGGGTCCTCGCCGCTGTATCCCGCCCCCCATCGCAATACCCGAGCCAGATCGTTTCCTAACAAACACATGCAGCAGAACTGAGCACAAATAATAATGCTAACAATGCATTAACAAACACCAAAATCTACAGGATGCTAACAAACACTATTCAGCATTAAACACTAGAATTAATGAAGAACATTCTCTCCATCACTCACCAGTGCCCAGTGGTATGATGCCGATCGCTGGCTCAGGACAGGCGATTTTGTGCCGGATGGACTCCAGAACCCCCAGCACCCATCCCACTGTGCCGTCTCCTCCACACACCAGGATCCGAAAGTGAGGGACTTCCCTGAACGTGTGCAGCCTGTACGAAGCACATGCTCTTATATGTGAGAAGGGAAATGACAGCATGTATCCTTTTTTTAACAAACAGATAAAAAAATAGATAAAAGAAATCTTCTTGCTTCATGTGTGTTGAGCCAAAAAAGTCTTTACAAATGAACAAAAAAAGTTGCAACTGCACACTGAATTCAATACAGACTAAAAAAGTCTAGCAAAACATATTTTATTATATAAACTGCATAGTGCAAAAAGGTGCAAAGTGCAGGTGATTTAAAAGCTATTCATCCATCTGTCAGTCACAACATCCATACATCTGGCATCATTCAAAAGGAAATTTAGTCTAACCCAGGAAGTGGTCCTCCGCTGGTCAGCTCGAACACTTGGTGAGGGTTTAGAAGTTTTCGGAAACTGTATAAGATCTCTCTGCCCTTTAATCCACCACTTTTAGGGTTGACAAAGACTAGCAAGGGGCAACTTCCTTTGGCCAGCTTGCTTTGCTGTGGGGAGAGAAAATAACATTGGTTACACTTACAAGTGTTGGTGAAATGACTGTTGAATTGTACTATAGTTTCTCTGTTGGGCACTAGAGGGCAGATGCATCTAAAGATTGGGCCAACATTATGAGCTCTATTGTTGCAATGAACAGCATGTGAAATACTGATCACATTTAAATCAATACAGGTGATTATTTTGAATCAGCGGTTGTTATATCCAATATATGGACACTTAAAAGGGACAGTTCATAAAAAAATAAAGAGATAGTTCAGTCCTTTTAGTCATTTTCCAGAAGAGAGTAAGTTTTACAGATTTGGAATGACATAGTAAATAATGACAGGATGTTCATTTTTTTATTTGTTAAAAAAAGAGCATATAAAATAAGTCTGTTGCAACCACAGAGTGTCAAATGTACAGTATGGCTTTGCAAAAAGGTGGTGTACCATGATCTCAGGTATGACAAGTGAGTAGAGCTGTTTGCCGCTGATGCTGGTGTCTTTGGCCAGCATGTAAATCCTCTCCGCCTCTGAGAAACAGCTGATCTGCAGAACCACAGCACCTGAAAACAGCACAGCAGCTCAATTATACAAACACTCACTAACACCTGCTCACACCTGGGACACAATTATTTTTACCACCTATCATGACATGATGGAATAAGAAAAAAAAATTGTAGGCTTCAGTAGGCTTTTTTTAATGAAAGAAAGAAATTTACACTTTTATTCAGCAGTTCTTTTGAGCTTCCTATTTAAATATGAATAAAAAATGTCATGGTTTTCACACTGATAATGATAATAATGTTTCTAACATTTCTTTTGTTCATTTGTTTCTTGACTGAATCAGCATATTAGAATGATTTCTGAAGGATCATGTGTCATTAACTGGACTAATGGCTGCTAAAAATTCTGCTTTGCCAACAGAGGAATACATTTCAAAATACATTGAAATAGACAAAAGTTCATTTAAATTGTAAAAATATTTCATATTATTATTGTTTACTGTATTTTTGATCAAATAAATGCAGCCTTGGTGATCATCTTTGAAAGCATAAAAAAAAAATTGACCCTTTTTCAACTTTTGAAAACAATTTATGATAATTAATTAGCATTAGTATAATTATTTCATAATATATAATTTTATATTTTATCATAAAGATATATATATATATATATTTGTTAATATTTTACATATATATTTTACTTCACTTATATGCTATATATAATATACCACAAACAAAATTGCTGTAAATATTTATAAATATTTCTTGTTGAAATGTAGGAATCTTTATTGAAATATTTCTTGTTGAAACATTTATTTTGCATAATATTTACTCAAAATTCATAAAAACAGCACTTCTATATGTATCAGTCAAGCAGAATGGTCTATTTTGCAAATTGAAACACCCTTTGCTCCGTTTTTCACAAGTATAGCACAGTAGCGAACGACAGGAAATCATACAGAGAAGTAAAGAGAATAATAACTCTAGGTGTCAAAGCGTGTGTTAACTGCTACATATTTTAAGATCTCCACACAAACCAACACACTGCTGCAACAACAATATAAAAATACATTGTTGAAAGCATCAAGGCGAGTGAGCCAGTGTCCATGTGATGATTGAGAACAACCGGCAGTTCAGAGCGTTTGTGTGCAGAACAAGGGCTCTCATTTACAGAGCACCAAGAGTAGGCCAGACTGCGGCCCATGCACAAAGCAGGCGGTTTGTCCTGCAGCACGCACCAGCGACCTTCAGTGTTATCAAATAAAGTCATGCAGTTCAGTTGTGCTCAGAACAAAGACGGACATTATGAGCCACCTCTAAAGGAGGGATGCATTTCCTGTGACGAAGAAACAGGCCGTTCTCCCACAGAACCCTATGATTTATGAATGCAGTTTCTCTTACCTTGTTCAGAGTACACGTGAGTGATGGTGACCAAATGACCTGGGTGGGGAAAGAAATAGACACAAAATGAGTTTCTTTCTTCATCAAACCAAACTTGGAGAAATGTAACATTACATCACTTGCTCACAAATGGATCCCCTGCAGTGAATGGGTGCCGTCAGAATGAGAGTCCAAACAGCTGATAAAAACATCACAGTAATCCACAAGTAATCCACACCTCTCCAGTCCATCAATTGTGAACACCTTGTGAAGCAAGATAAACCAATCCATAAAGACATTTTAACTTCAAACTATTGCTTCCGGGCATCTATCCATAGGATTGCTTTCTCCAGTGAAAAAGTCATCTTGTCTGAATCAGGAGTCAAATATGCACATATCAAGACTGTTTAAGTGGAAACAGTTGTAAACAAATATGTCGGTGGATTTTGATGTTAGAGGACAATGGGGAATGGAGTTTTTCACTGGAGGAAGCGTTATTATGGATTATAAACTCGTATTTTGGCCCAGGAGCAACAATTTAAAGTTAAAATGCCTTAATTGTGGATTTGTTTTTTTACAAACAAGAACTTTTCACCTCACAAGACAATAATTGATGGACTGGATTTGTGTGGATTACTTGTGGATTATTGTGATGTTTTTATCAGCTGTTTGGACTCTTATTCTGACGGCACCCATTCACTGCAGAGGATCCACTGGTGAGAAAATAATGTAATGCTAAATTTCTCCAAATCTGTTCTGATGAAGAAACAAAGTCATCTACATCTTGGATGGCCTGAGGTCGTGTACATTTCTAGCAAATTTTTATTTTTGGGTGAACTATTCCTTTAACCATCAGATCCAATCACAATAAATGCCCAGCAGTCCCTTTATCATCTGTTCGAATCCCTTCCAGCAGAGAGGCGACAGGCATATTTACGATGAGTACACAAGATGCCTTATGTCAGACTTATAGGTCAGCATTGTTTAAGGACAATTTCATGGAAAGATTAATAAAATCCAAAGAGACTGACAAGATGAATGGCTACAATCCAAAGGATTTGAGCCATTTAAATCTTGAGCTTACACATCATATGAACACACACAGACTCACTTTTGACTGAGAGGTGTTCAGATAGCAGGTGTGTGTATTCCTCTTTTTCAAGCTGTGTCGGAAAGCCTCCCAAGAGCAGATTGACTTGTGCCACTCGATTCCTGCTTTCCTCAATGTAAAACCGTGTCTGGTTCATCTGTCGCAACGATGTCTGAAAGTCACAAGCTCAGAGTTTGAGACAATCAAGAAGCTCTCATATATTCCATATCAAGCACACACACTGTAAGGCTTATCAGGGCACATCACCTTGAGTGTTTTCCAAATGGCAAGCAAAATCATCATGACCCGCCTAACATACCTTCCGTATCTCCTGCAGTTTTTCCAGTAAAATCTCCTGACCGCTGAGGACTTGCCGTTGCACTGAAGATGGATAAGAAATGAAAGGGTAAGACATTGTGAAACCCTTCCACATTTTTCAAAGCTTTTCTATGTGTTGTAAGGGTTTGCACAACAAATGCCTTTAATTAAGCCTTTAAAGAAATCTTACCTTGTTTGCTGCTCATGAAAACCTCTACAAGGTTGAAGTCAGCATGGTTTTCATTCTATGGACATTTGCAGAAACCATGTGGATTAACATACATATTGTGCATTAAGTTCAAATAACTAGATTTTTGCATTTTCTGAAAAATATATTGTGGCGTTTGCCTGTACAAATGTTTCCACTAGAATACAAGGGCGTTGCAGGTGACTGCTATGTTGTAGGCAAAAAATATTTTGCTGGTTTATGATACAGATACATGTCTTGATGTACGATACTAATACATAGGGTTAAAGCGTTTGTTTAAATAAACATAAGCTGTGTTTATGAGAATTAAATTCCAAGTTACCTGTTTTTCTATTCGTGGGAGCACTTCCTTTAAGATTGAGTCTACTGTGCTGCTTTTCCCAACAGTAACTGAGGTGACTTCAACCCTGAAACACACGTGAAAGAACTTTCCTCATTACGCCAACATTTAAATACGTTAAGCATTGAAAAACGTTCCATCCCTAGATTCACCAGTGGTCTGGCACCGTATAAATCATACACTGGTCTGCCACTGAAACTTCAGACAATGTTTTGATTTACTGTGGTCAAATATTGCATAAGAACATTAACGTTTGATTGTGGCGCTAACTGGCAGCATGTGTTAAGTCTGACTCAATCCCTCCCTGACTCAAAACTGTTAATAAAACACAAAATGCTTCATTAGTTCCAGACCCGCGTTAACAAAACAAAACGCCTGATCTAATGGAAACATCAAGCACATGAGTGGCACTGCTATTGTTTTCATGAACTCTAAAGGTTTCCTGTTGAGGTTCCATCAGCATTTGTGATCCATTTCCTACTGGCATGGCAACAACATCTAAGGTAAACCATGGATGCGGTGTCACTTCATCTCCGTGGCAACGGAGACACACAACAGCAAGCTTGTCATTAGTCAGGCCATGTGCGTTTTGATGGGTTTCATATACACTTGCCCTCGCTGAGTGGTATGCGACACATCTATTGTCTATTTCCTTGCGATGTCTGGAGATGATTTATGGTTTGTTTGGAGAAGCAAGAGGACTGATGTTCCATAAAACCCTTAGATAAGTAAACTGTAAGCTAGAACTCCCCTATTTACGCAAGAACTGCACATCTTTACGATGTGTTAGCATCTAAAATTTTTAGAGCACTGTTTTGTATGTAAAATAGATTTTCCATCGTGTTCTGCTTAGCTATATAAAGTAACTATTAAATAGTGGTGTGCGATATGTATCGCCTACAAATAATAATGAAGTGCGGGCTGCAATACCATTAGAATGACCCCAGAATTCAAGATATGGGGGTCTAAATGCTGTTCTATGTGTTTTTGTTTTATTTATATCGTTTGATATAGTTCGGCAATATCACACAAGAAAAAGTACGGTTTTCTTCGAACGTCAGCACAATTGCAAATGTTATATTGATTTTATGCAACAGTTCAATAAGCAATAAGTTAATATTGTGTGTTACATTTCAGACACAATAATGTCTGTTGTTTGCTTTATTTCCCCAAAGAAAATAGTTGCAACATCAGAACGGTTGCGCATCTTTGAGAATCACACAGCTGTGTTTCGTTACTGAATGAATCTGTGTTTTTGAATAAATTGGGTGAGTCAGTGATTCAACGACCCATTCATAAAGACAGTGAATTAATCAGCCATTTGAACGAATTGTTTAAATAACGACTCAATGAATTTAACCTGTAATATTCCGTATGAATCTACGTATTTAAGACAGCTGGACAACACAAAACAGAACAACACATATGCAATAAAAGCAGAAGTAGAGCTCACTTGCGCGAGCTGGAATAAATCTTCACCACTTCCGTTTCTTTAGGTTTTGATCTGAGCACCCAGGAATCAGACACGGTATCCTTAAATATGGGCTTGTTGTCCGGCGTGCCGTTACGGTTGATGATGTCATCTGTAAACAGTCCCTGTTGGCTGTAACTCTGTAGCTCGTAATCCTGCGGTTCATCTGGGATGTAGAACGCTCTGAGGGATGCTTCCTGTCAGGACAGGAAGTATAGAAATCAGCATAACACTGACAAAAATGTTTGTGTGTTATTCAGCCATGGATTTATAATAACAATTCTGAGGTATATAATGTAAAAGTTTAATTCAGGTGAAACTCGATTAGGTAAAAAACATCTCACCACTCCTTCCTCATTCTTGATTATTCGAGGGATTGAAACCAAACAAAACTGATTCCGCTTAGCTGCATCGTCACCATCGAAAACTTTCAGCGTCTGTTTACCTGTAGGCCAAGAGGAAGGAGATTAATTTGGGCATGAGGTTGATTAGTATTACCCATGTCATTTTTGCCCAGGTTTGTACCTGTGTCAGGTGATCCCGTAGACGGAGTTTCCTTAGAAGTTACTGGACTCGGGGTATCCACATCATCCAGGTTATCTGGAGAAAACAAACTTCTCTATGAGCATTTACAGATATTCTTGTTATTTGATAATCGGAGGTGAATATGACACTCTTTAACAATAAATTAAGGGGCATTAAAGGTGTAATTTTCCAACCATCTTATTTTCAAGGCTTACACATTTAATCGCAGCAAACAGTAATTAAAGCAGAACAGAATTATTTTGCTCACTGAGAATGAAGAAATGTTTCGGGTTCAATACATCTGTGACAAGCTGTCGAGTACCACAGACAACAATTGTGACATGTCTCCCAGTTTGTAAAAACAAGTTAAAATCAAGTGTTCAGCATTGCACTTACAATGAAAATCTATGAGGCACTGCTATGGGATACAAAACACATTTCTAAAGTGTAACCACAACACCTACCAATTTTGGGTGTATCATAAGATTGATAAATTATTTATTCCTGCAATAGATAGCAATAGCAATAGGCAATTTATTCCTGCCGAGACAATGTTGTAATTTCAGCAGTCATTACTTCAGTCTTCAGTGTCACATGATCCTTCAGAAAGCATTCTGATATGCAGATTTGGTGAATATGAAGTTCAAAAGAACAGCATTTATTTGAAATAGAAATCTTTAACATTAACATAATAAATTCTAAATATCTTAACTGTCACTTTTGATCTATTTAATTCATCCTTGCTGAATAAATGTATTCATTTCTTTTAGAAATTATTACAGACTGCAAACCTATAATTATTTGTGACCATGGACCACAAAACCAGTCATAAGGGGCAGTTTTTTGAAATTCAGATTTGTGCATCATCTGAAAGCTGAATACATAAGCTTTCCATTGATGGATGGTTTGTTAGGATAGGACAATATTTGGCTGAGACAAAACTTTGAAAATCTGGAATCTGAGGGTGCAAAAAAATCTAAATATTGAGAAAATCACCTTTAAAGTTGTCCAAGTGAAATTCTTAGCAACGCATATTACTAATCAAAAATTAAGTTTTTATATATTTACGGTAAAAATTTTACAAAATATATTCATGGAACATGATCTTCATTTAATATCCTCATGATTTTTGGCATAACAGAAAAATCTATAATTTTGACCCATACAATGTATACAGGTGCATCTCAATAAATTAGAATGTCGTGGAAAAGTCCACGCCGAATTGAGGCAGTGATTAAAGCAAAAGGAGCCCCTACCATGTATTGAGTACATGTACAGTAAATGAACATACTTTCCAGAAGGCCAACAATTCACAAAAAATGTTTTTATGTTTTCTTATGAAGTATTCTAATTTGTTGAGATTACTAATTTGGTTTTTGTTAAATGTGAGCCAAAATCATCACAATTAAAAGAACCAAAGACTTAAACTACTTCAGTCTGTGTGCATTGAATTTATTTAATACATGAGTTTCACAATTTGAGTTGAATTACTGAAATAAATGAACTTTTCCACGACATTCTAATTTATTGAGATGCACCTGTATACATTGTTGGCTATTGCTGCAAATATACCCGTGCTACTTATAACTGGTTTTGTGGTCCAGGGTCACATTTTAAGTGCATTACTATAAACACAATTTTACTTTACAAGCCTGATGTATGAGTAAAAATGCTTGTCTGTGCTAATCAACAGCGTGCCACACATGCGGTCCACAGAACTTGTTGTAAACCTGAACACTCCTTTAAGTTTAAGGTGTTCGCTTAAATTTCAGTGACAATGTGAACGTGTCCAGGCATTACCCATCTCGCTGTGGTGGGAATTTTCTGAGATTCTGTAACAGTGCATCTTGCTGAAGTTCCGTGAGCAGATCCGCACGCAGCTGGGGTGAAGAATCATGTTCTGCAACCGTCCCATGCTGCACTCTGGGGGGATGATTATGTAACATGACGCATGTGCCTGCAAACATATAAACAGATAAGTGGTTGAGTCGAGAGATTAAAAGCAACGGTACAGCTTTAAGACAATTGCAGATTTTCTAATAATGTCAACAAATTCTACATTCATTTATCCAAAGCAATATATAGGAGTATTGTCCCTGTAATAAGTGTGCTGTATTAATCAGAGGTTAGGTGGTTTGCTAAAGAGCACAATAGTCTACTATTCACGGACTGACCTTTGCAGGGTTTTAACCAACAACCTCAACCTTTTGGTTACTAGTCCTGATGTTCGGCAACACACCAACACACCAACTCGACTCAAATAAAAGTACAGCAACAGCGAGTGAGTGTGTGTGTAAGGCCTTATGTCTTTGTTCTCAAATCCCTCTAAATCCTAGAGGTTTGTGCTTTCAAAGTATTTGTGTTGCAAATAGCCATTTCAAATATGTACCCTGCAGTCTCTGTCCTTGAAAAACCTTTTGCTCAGGCACTAGTGCTTACATCATCTACTAACCGACATGCTGAAAAACTAGTGCTGGGGAGGGGATAAAATGCACGCTAGTGTTCAGAGGGACATTGTCTGATAGCAGGAGTGCAGTAGAGTACAGCTTTTTATCACCTGGAGCTAAATAAAACATAATGCGGGAAAAAGTGGAGAGTGAGTCAGTGGAAAGTAAGCTTCTAAGTAAGCATCGTTGGTGAAATGGAAACTTGTATTGTGAGTGATTTGCAACACAGTCATACAATTAATACCAAAAATGCAGAATGTAAAAGGAATGTCTTGACAACTGATTTGGAAACAGGCATCATACTACTATCTAAATTTTTAAGTCAGTAAGATTATTATTATTTTTTAAAGAAATTAAAACTTTATTCAGCAAGGATGCAATAAATTGATCTAAAGTTCCAGTAAATGACAATTATAATTTTACATTTCAAATAAATGCTGTTATTTTGAACTAACTTTCATATAAGAAATCCAGAATTTCTGAAATTCAGGAAGACTGTACCACGGTTTCCACAAAAACTATTGTTTTCAACATTGATAATAATAAATGTTTCTTGAGCAACAAATTGATCATGTGCCACTGAAGACTGGAGAAGACTGGAGAACTGACATTTTAGACATATTAACATAAAAAACAGTTAATGTAAATTGTAATAATATTCCCACAATATTACTATTTTTACTGTATTTTTACTGTATTTTTCTTTCAAAAACAAACAAAACTCCAAATTTTTGAATAGGATATGTACATTCATGTTCAACCATCTTGGAAATATTTTTTCCATTTCAGGCCATAGTAATGGGTTTGGAAGTTGATATAATTCATGTAGCTACTACCTACAGTACATTGAAACCAAGAAACCAGGTCAGGCAATAGAAAAAATATCCACTGCCAAGATGACAAAGGAATAAAAAACACAGCAAGCTATGCCTGTATTCAACTTCAACCCGAGTACAATTTTGTAAGTGCTGACAGGAGCTGCATCCTACATTGCACCTGTTAAATAATAAATTGATTCATTGTGAGACACGACAGCCTGAGAGCCCACCTATAACTAAATAATGAAAAACTGAAAGCGTTGAATGATAAGACAAGTATGGGTTGGGTGGACTTAAAAAAAACAAAACAAAACACAAAATCACACACTTACCGTAATGCCACACCATTCGCATCTCATGCCAGCCAGGATATCCGAAGAACTGCAGGTGCGACGACAGACTTCACAGCGGGCACCTGAGGACATGTTCCCCTCCCGCCAGTGGTGCTGGTACGTGTCCTATCAGAGCAGGAGGGGATGATGGGTTAGGAATAACCATGTGGCCAATAACACAATCTAGAGCAATAATAAAGCTAGGGAATGTGATTTACCCAGGACAGGCTCCTGGATCAACATCCGTTACGCTTTATGCTGTCGTTAAACAACATTCTTATCAAGCTAACATTTCCCGTCAATTTTAGGAGTAGGATAGTTTGATCTATAATTAGAAATTATACAATTATATAATTCTATTTATAAGTAAATCTAATTAAGACAAAATCATGTTCTAATAAGGCAAATTATTTTGTGTGCTAGGGAACAATATCAACAGTCTTCAAAATTGTTGACTAATCTAATGATTTTTCCCAAGCTAAAGACAAAAATATTTACATTTAGAAATTAAGGACATTTGGAAATGTAGAAATTCATACTTTTACATCGCCTGTGTAAAAGTACAGTTGCATCAGCGTAATTTTTGAACAAAAAAGGTGTAGCAATTTATGAAGCAATGCTCACATAGAAGTCTATTTAAGCAGCTTTCTGTTTGTTCAACACAATGAATTAACATGAAAAGACTAGAACATGAGCAAAACTTGCATAAGGAACTTTTATGCCCTCATGCAAAACTCCCAAGATGTAACAACACCTTTACACATCTCGCATATTCCTAAGAAAATGCACTATAAATAATTATTACTCATCACATAGATTTTCCATTGAATTCTATCTTTTCTGTCAGTAAAATGTTGTAACGATTTGTATTTGTGACATTTATTGCACAACTTCAGTGGCAAAAGCTCTTTTCGTTTAATCAGTCACTGTGCTGTGGGTGCTCGGTTTTTTATTCTGCTTCTTGTAATGTGAAAATGCAAAAGAAAACATACTGCGAACTTGCAATCTAGTCACCCATTTCAATAAACAACATCCTATGTATTATTTCACTAGAGTACACTTGGAGTTTCTTGTTTCTCTCTCCAATTCTCATTCATGTCACAACCTGTTTTCTCTAGTGGAAATAAAAATTTTATTTCCTTTCTTTTCTTCATTCCTTAATTTCTAATCCCTATTAGCATCCTTTGCTGTGGGAGTGTTTCTGAAGTATAGAAAAGTCCAATCCATATTATTATGCCAACATGCCAGAAATCAATTTGGATTATAAACCAATGAATTAAAAATTTGGTAAATTAAGTCAAATGTTCAGTTAAAGCAAACTCTAATTTATGTGAGGTTTATTACAAGTGGAGGTTAGCCATGGTTTTATTCTCTGGTCTACTGGCTTTAAATGTCAGGTTAATACATCAGTAGATGGTGCAGTCATGGTTCTCATACTCACAATGTCTTGCCCTCCATCTTGGTGGCAGAAACGACAGTCGCTAACGCTGAACGGGGCACAGTCGCTGTGCACATGCAGCTCACACACTGAAAAACATGTGAGGTGAGGTTACTGTCTTATGTGATTTATCCACTAAGCAAACATCATCTGAGGCAAAACAGTTTATAAATTATTTTTTATTTCCATAGGGCAGTGGAAATGTGATGAACTAGTACCGCCTGTGAGGTGATACAGGTCTGACAGAGCAAAAAGTCACTTAATTCACATTAGTGTAACAAATGTTTGAGTAGGTGTGGGAATTAAAGACCGACTTTTCTTCGGAGCTTAATTTGTGCCTTTTGTAAGCATAGAGAGAGAGGAAGAGAAATGAAAGAGAGAGTTGAAGTGCAATGTTTTTCTTTCAGCTTGGTTCTTAGAATTCAGCCCACTGAAAAAAGCCATTCTGCCATTGCCATGGCAACAGCTGCTTTCCAAACAGGGACGACCAGCACAGACAAATGAGCAATAACAGAATAAAAAAAAAGACCAAGAGGGTTTGGGGAAACAGGAAAAAAAAAGGTTTTAGAGGAAACGATCTGATTCTGAATCTGATTATTAAAATAAGGCGGAAAGGCTGTTGAGCACAGAAGACAACCACAAAAAAATTTTAAAAACCCTGCTTTAAAGGCAGGGTATGTGATTTTTCAAAAACACTTTAGAAAACTGATTCGGGCCGAATAGCAAAACAAACTTGTAGTCAATCAGCAATAAGGGGCGTGTCTACTCGTGATGTGGAGGAGAGAGCTTTCAGTGCATGGGACGGACATTAGCCGAGCCGAGCGACAGAAAGATAGAGATGGCGGATAAAAAAACAAAAGAGGAAAACGTCTGCGGAACGATAAGGCAAGAAGTAGGACCCGTGTAAATATCGGATCAGCTTTCCAGCGCTGGAGAGAACTCAAGGAGCGGAGGCCTACGATCGGACGCCGAGGTTGCTTTGTTTCTTCTCAATAGGTGAGTAACACCGTGTCTACAACAACTAAAGTCTGCCTACACTGGACGCGATCAAACGACCGTTGAAAACCATTTGAAATCGGTGTCAGCACGTCATAAATAGAACCCGGCAGCAGTTTTCTGTAGGGGATTTGTTGCGCCGCGCCGCTCACGTCCATAGACACGGTGTAACATTGGTTTTGCTTTGTTTCACAGAACGAATCGTTGCCTGGGTTGCGTACGTATATGTGGGGCAGAGCTATCAAAATAGGGGCAAGACCCTTTTGGGGTAGAGGCGTGTTTGTTTTGGTGATTTCAAATATCAACATTGGCTACCAGAAATCACTTACTCTGCCTTTAATCTGCCTAGTTTCGTCCATTACGCTTGTTTAAGCTTGGGTTACTGGCCTGGCTGAGCTGGTTTAGTTTGTCAGCCAGACTGACCAGCTGACAACTGTGCAAAACACCTCTAAAACCAGCAAAACAAACCAGACTGAACAGCAAACAATCTTAATGTGTATCAACAAAGAAGAATATCTGACCAACAGCAGCTGACATACTTTCAGTAGGCCACACCTACACCTTTCTATTTTGGTTCATTTCCCAAAAGACCACTTCGAGTCGAGACTCTAATTTAATTTAACATTAACATAACATTATCCACGATTTCTCTGACCCTTGTAATTAAACAGACTGCTTTTGCTACTACACCTTTAAAGGGACAGTTCACCCAAAAAAATAAAATCTTTCATCATTTATTCACTCTCATGTCATTCCAAACTTTTCAAGATATTTTGAAGAATGATGGTAACCAAACAGTTTTAGTTTACTTCCATGGTATAGACAAAAAAAAAAACGCATACCCAGGCCGTCTGAGAGAATGAGTTCACGGGCTAATTAATATAAACATGATTATAAGTTGATCCCTTGTCATTTGAGATGTAACTTAAAGCTTAATAAAGTGTTGAGAATAAGTAGCCTACGTAAAATTATTTATTTGACAAACAACGGTAATATTCTGTAAATCTACGTCAGTTACGGAAGCTTCCAGGCGAGCGGATTCTCCGCAGCTTTGGCACCTCCGCTCTATTGCTATGTGACTTGTCAGGATTGTTGCGCTTTCTCAGAGGTTTGCTGGTATGCACATGATTTCATGCGAGAGGTAAGCGGTCCGCGAAGCGCTCGCCCAAGCTAAAAAATGCTCTGTTGCTGCCAGATCTCGACTGCCGAAAATTACATTGTGTTTGATGCAAAACTAACTCGACTAAATCAAATGGAAAAAAAACATTGTAACTGTATATTTTCATGCTTTCTCAAGCAAAGCAAATTTTGAAAGTCCACTAAAACCATATCTTACATTTTTGGTCATAGACAATGTTGAAGATATAGCCTACGCTATTGTCAACATGCCTGGTAAATTAACAATGTTTATCAAAATTTAAAATAATAACAAACATCAGGAAAAAAAAAAAGAGGAAACCGTACAATCGTCAGAACATTTTGAACATTCGGAAGATTTTATTTTTAGGCTACCTGTGTTAAAGATATTATTTTTGGTATTTTACAAGGTATTGGAGTAGTGTCACCAGGGTGGGAGTTTTAGGAGGAACTCCTATTCACTGGAAAAACAAAAAAATAATTCAGTTTATGCAGAGACATATAGACTGGGGGAATCCCCCATCTCCCCACCCTCTGACCATAACGTAACTACGTGTAAACGTTATTTGGCAGTTTTTACTTGGAAAAGCAGATATATGTATTTCTGGCATTCGAATAACTATGGATAAACATGAAATGAGAGAAGAAGGATTGGAGAGGTATTTCATTTAATAAGGTAGGAAATGTGCATACTTTTAAACCGACACCTGCCACGGTGTTCCCCTCTTTGAGTGTTTCCTAAATTCCGATGCGGCGGGAGGGAGGGCGGATGGGGGGTCTTAAAGGGGTCATATGATGTTGCTAAAAAGAACATTATTTTGTGTATTTGGTGTAATGAATTTTGGAAGGCCAAACAAAGTAGTTTCCCTTTCACAACGAAACAGCGTCACACACCGCGGCCTTGAGTGAGCGGATTCGACGAAGGAGCGTCCGGAGGGCTTGCGGCAACGACCCCGGGCTGGACTCTGCTTCGTCCACGGTGAAAGCCCACACAGTGCCTTCATGACATGGCGGTGGTGGCAACAACAATACTACAGCGAGAATAAAAGTTACGCCTTCTTTCTTTGCGTGAACATTTGGGCGGCGTTATGCAAATCTTCCCACATAGTGACGTAGACATGTTATTACACTTTCAGATAAACATCATTTACTATTTTTAATTTTTTTTTCCTCGTGGGGACCCCACAATGTCAAAAATTTCAGGTTTTACTATCCTTGTTGGGACATTGCCACAATGTAGCATAAACAAGTACACAAACACACACACCTTCACAGCGCAGAGCCGAACTGCCCTCCAGATGCTTCCGGCAAACACAGCAGAACCTCTTCTTCTGACCGGCAGGACCGAAGCAGTGCGCTACAGGAACCTATACCACAAACAAGGAGAAGAATGATTAATAAAATAAAATCTGGGACTCGTGCTGCCTTCGAGTGCACCAGTGAAACTTGTACCTCCGAGTCAGATGTTCGCTATTACAACATTTAAGTCGGAATCATAACATGGAAGTATCTGAAAAACAAAACAAAATAATGATATTGTGAACAACTATTATTCACAATAGCATTATTTTGTTTGTTTACAGCTACTAATTACATCTGAATCCAAAAAGAAAATATTAATTTCTATCACTTAAGTATACATGGCATCACAGCTGTATCTGAAGCAAACCATGAATATTAAATGATTAACGCCATGCGCAAAAGGCTTGGCTTTCGCTAACAGATCTCTATATGGATTACAGATACAATATAATTTATATTATATCAGTGTTTCCTCCATGTTTCAAATCGACACATCACTTCCAACATCACTTCCTTCCTGTCTGGGGGAGGGGAGTAGAAATGCAGAAGGCATTTAGGATTTAAATAGCTGATTTTTAAATTCTTTTTGATCTCATGTACCAGTAATAAACTTTGATGTACAGCAATGCATGTGTAAAAATAACTGAATACAGAACGAGAAGTGCCGTATACCACATGCACCAAACATGGGCCATTCTTAATGTTTAGTTTCAGATTACAGTAAATAACATTCAGCTAAAAGTGAACATAATACAACACTGAAACCTAATCCTTCCTCTGTTAGAGTGCATTCTTCAAGCTTTATATTTAAAAGCATTTAACCTGTTTAAAAAAAAACATATGCAATTATATGCACTCAAAGAAAAGCCAAATCGTCTGAGTGGTTCTCCCTTTCCTTCCACATATTTACTTCCTATAGAGGCCCCCTTTACATCTAACATGCAATTTTGGTTGATCGGTTCAAAATCAGGTAGCATCTGACCACTTCAAAATCTAAGTTTAAATGCACTCTGATCAGATCAAGGAAACCACATTTGGATCATTATTGCATACAACAAAGAATATGTAATCAGGGGCGGATCTAGAAAATAATTTTTAGGGTGGCAAAGGGGTGGCATGGGGTCTATGAGGGGTGGCAACACCAAAGCAAGCCCCCATGCATAGTTTTTGGGGATTTATGGTCTGACATACACAGTTGTGTTCACAAATATTGTATTACCATTAAGTAATCATCTATACAGTTTACAATGAAAAATAAATAACAACATTTCAATATTCATCATGGCACCAAGTAAATGCACAATATTAAAAAACTTCAACAGGTTATAAATGTTTCTGAGCTTTTATCACTAAAGAAGACATGCGGTTCTATTAAAATTACATA